GCAAGGGGTGATCGAAGCAGAGGGGGTGGTGGTGAGATACCGCCCGGAGCTGCCCCCCGTGCTCAAAGGACTGACCTTCTCCATCCGAGCAGGTGAAAAAGTGGGGGTGTGTGGACGCACGGGCAGCGGCAAGACGACGCTGAGCATGGCGCTGTATCGGATAGTGGAGCTGAGTGCAGGGCGAATAGTGATTGATGGCGTTGATGCTGCCACCATCGGCCTGAGGGACCTGAGGTCGCGGCTCTCCCTGGTCCCACAAGACCCCGTGGTGTTCTCCGGCAGTATTCGATGGAACCTGGACCCGTACAGTGCTGCGAGTGCTGGGGTGGGAGGGGAGAGCGAGATGGGCAGTGGGGGACACGGGGAGGGGAAGCGTTACGGAGGAGGGATGAGGGGGGATGTGGAGTTATGGGAGGCGCTGACGCAAGCAGGCGTGGCGGATGCAGTGAGGGCGCTGCCAGGTCAGCTGGACGCTGAGGTGGCGGAGGGCGGAGGGAATCTGAGCGTGGGGCAGAGGCAGCTGCTCTGTCTGGCACGCGCCCTGCTGAGACGCTCGCACGTGCTGGTGCTGGACGAGGCTACATCCAATGTGGACACGGCAACGGACGCGGCGGTGCAGGCGGCGGTGCGGGGAGGGGCGTTTGCAGCGTGCACGGTGGTGACCATCGCGCACCGCCTGCACACCATAGTGGACTGCCACCGCGTCATGCTGCTGGAGGACGGCCACGTGGCGGAGCTTGATTCGCCCACTGCCCTGCTGCAGGTCAGAGGGTCGCGGTTCTCGGCGTTTGTGGATGCCACCATGCCCAGGGAAGCCGCTGCTCTGCGGCGAATCGCCTCCGCCAAGTCAATTGCGGCGAGCGAGGGGTAAAGGTGAGGGTAGGACAAGGAGGAGAGGACAGTAGCGGAATGCTGTATGAGGCTGCTGCTACCTGCTGCATACCCTCGATATAGTTGGTGGTTAAAGGGAAGTATGCTGCCCTGCCCACTACATAACATGGTTGTTGAAAACATGAAGTATAGACACTACGAATATATGTCGTTTTTTTCTGCAGGTCCATAGTGGATAATATTTAGAGGTTCAAGCAAGGTAGCATGTTAAGACGTATTTCTGTCGTTTGTGATGATGCTATGTAAACAATTTAGAGCTGATTGACAGCTGTGACGAATATGAGCGCGACAGTAGCAGGTATGAAGCTGTGTGTTTCTCCTGTCAGCTCCCACTATCCACCAGCTGGCTTAGATCGAATTCTGAAGTTGGGCCGACGACGAAGTTTTCCCTTCGGCACCAAGTTTTCCCATGCGACTCGGGAAACTGTGGTGGATACCATCCTTGCTGCGAAACGCTCGCGATAAGGCTTGCGAAAACAAGCCGCGAAAATGCGACCTGCAAAACTTCGCGGCCAACTAGGAAGCGCGCACAACGGGCTGCGACCCATATGCGACCTGAAAAATGTACCGGATGCGCGTCTGCAACCTGTCGGTTGAAATTTGCAACAACACTGGTACAAAAAAACCCGCCAAGAGCCCCAAAACATACCAAACGCGCGCAGCGCCGTAAATCATCGAGTGCCACTTCTCCTACCCAATTCGACAACCTCTCGTACAGACGAACAATCAATACAAAAAGGCGTACAGCAGACTACTACTGCAGCATGACTACTTCTAGTTTCTGAAAACAAGCTACAGGTTCCTCCCCGCTGAACTCCTACACCATGGGCCGGAAAAACAAGGGCCAGACAGAGAAACGCAAGGGAATCTCGGAGGTCGAGGCGGCACCGCGCCCGACACCACCCTTTCTCCAGTACCTGTCGGATCTCGAGGCAAATGGCATCAAGCGGATCCGCCTAGTCGGCGTCACGGACTTGCCCGCTAGGAGAGGAGGGAAATGGAAGAATGGGCTTGCTGCGTCGACGAGTGGCCATGGTAACGACGGCGCGGGCGAATACGGCTGCGGGTCCGAGCTCGATGCGGACACTATCAACCCCGAAGACGAGCGCTATTGTGACTCCGACGGCTACACCGCTGCCGACCAAGTGGACGACGATGGCGACGAGGACACCGAAACACCTGCAGACGGTGCAAACAGGAGGGGCAAGGGGAAGGTGTCCGGCGCGAGACAAGGGAGTCGATATTGGGAGGAGGACGAGCTTGCAGAGCTTGCGGCGGCAATGTGGGCAGCGAAAGAAGACTTCGACACGCTGAGGGGCAAGCAGGGAGGGCAGCCATGGAAGAAGCTACGCCGCGTGCTGCGCGAGGCGAATCCCAACTGGTGCCGTCCTAGTTACGCCATGCAAAAATGTTGGGCGCGCCTCAAGAGTCGACTGGATGAAATCGAGGAGGCAGATTCCAGGTCCGGTAACAACCCGATGCCCAAGCCGGAGTGGTACCAGCATGCATGGAATTACTGGAATTGCGACCGCGCTCCGAACCCCCATGTCGTCGACGAAGGTGGTGCGCGCATTGAGCACGCGACGCCGCGGACCGCGCACGGCACGCGGTCCGCACCTTCTACCGCACCCCCCGGAACTACCGCGCCAGGTACGGAAACCACACACAAAACCAATGTACGGGAACCCCGAGTCATTGAACAAGCTTTCAATCACGCACTCAAGACACGGGGCCTTATTACAGAGCAGGGCGCAAACGAACGTTGAGACATAACCTCAACTAACCCACACTACCCCAACTCCCACACTCCCATCAGGCTCGACGGTTTCACCTGGAAACATCGCGCAAAATAGTCACGCCGTGGAGCCGCCGAGAAACGACGGTCATCAGGTCGTAGCCGATACGCTCACCCGTGTGATGGAATAGCGTACAGCGCGCCAAGAAGTCGTCATGGGGAAGCTCGTTTCTGTTCTTGAGCTCCTCACCCAGGCGGCCGGAGCCGCGCCAGCACCTGTCCCACTGCGGGCTCCAACGGCTGGAACCCGCAGTGGGACAGCCTCGCCTGGTGGCCGTCACATCGACGGTACCGGAAGCACCATGCCATCTGCATTTCAGCATGGTGCGCCACACGGTGCCGGCTTTGCTTCAGTGTACCCTGCATGGTTTCCATCCGGTGGCTCGCCGAAACGTGACGTCAGTGCGGTTCATCCGCAGAATGCGCCAATTCGCGCATCGGTCCTCCCGTTTCCCGCTCCCGATGCTGTAAATGTCGCGCACGTCGCGGCGCCAGCACACTCTACGGACGAGGGTGGCGGGCCGGCGCGCCACTCGCACCTTGATTCCGCGCCGGCGGCACGCACGACCGCGACGGTTGTCATGGGGGCAGATGGAAATTGGTATTTCACTGCCCCCCCATTTGATGGCCATCTTCACCATGCCGCATGAGCCATGCGGCGTGGATGTGTGTGCCGAAGTCCCGGCGACGCGCGACCACGGCCTCGCGGTTGGGCGCAGGAGTGGGCTGCCATACGTACTCCGCCATACCCCGCCTCTCCCACCACCTGTTCAATTCTCTAGCCGTGCCATCTCTCCACTGTCCGCGTGATTGTCTTTTAGCGGAGGCTTGGTACTCTATCATGTTATGTAGTACCACTGCACATCCAGCTCCCGCGCACACCCGCCAAAGCCGCCCCCCGTGACATCCTCCGAAGATCCGAAATCTGTTTTTGAACAACCCCATGGTCCGCTCCACTGCCATCCGCGTTGATGATTGCACGTAATTAAAACTCTGCTCCCATCCTAGCAATATTCTAGCCTTGCTGGCGTGTATCGGAACTAAACAGAAATCCTTCAAAGGGTATGCCGCGTCACCCAACACTTGGTATGGCATGATCTCGCCATTTTCCATGCGTGCATAAAGAGCACTCTTGGTAAAGACCCTTGCATCGTGTGTGGACCCTGGCCATCCGACGACATAGTCCCAAATACGGCACTTGGAGTCCACGGTCAACTGTAATTGCACGGAGTACATTTGTTTCCGACAATAGTACTCCGAGCGCCATTCGTGGATGCCGCAGACTTGTAAGTGCGTGCCGTCTACAGCCCCTATGACGTTGGGTATCCCTCTGCAGGCGCGGAAATCCAGCGCCATCTCGGCCATTTCTTCTCGTGATGGGAATTGAACCCAGGCTTCTTTGTAACGTTTCGGGAAAGAAAGTAGGAAGCGGTCAACGATGCAGTGACAAACTGTCTTCGGCACCCCGAAGTAAAGACTCATATCCAGATAGGTCATCCCCGTCGCTAAATACTTTATCGGTATGAGAATACACAGTGATAAAGGAACCCCATGAGAGACGATGATGTTGTGGTAATCATTAGCCATGCCCTCTTTCAAGTGTTCTAGTATGTCTCGGTCGATTCGGAAAAGGTCCTCAAACTCAGCATCGTCGAAATCGTCGATGCGGTCCAGCCACCACTGGATCCGCTCACGTCTGTACTCTGCATAGCGCTTATGGCGAGCGCGTCGGGTCTCCGCGCGTTTAAACGCATATTCCACGCCGATCGCATCGAGGGCTTCCACTACGAGCTGAGCTACAATTATGTCTGTGACATCGTCGTCGAGGCGCTGCCATTCCATGAACGCGGCTACTGCTGCTGCGGCAGTTGCCAGAGTGTGAGCCATGGCGGAATAGGACCTTCGAACCCGCACTGCTAAACTGTACCCAACGCGTTGCGATGTTGCTGTTATATGGCTAAAGAGGCGATATTGGGGTCCAGGAAGTTCTGCCCGTTATTCGTTTCGTGCCTCGTTTGTTTGTGTGCTGTTACGGGCAGCTCATGCGGTAACCGTGCCACTGGGCCGTCTGTTTTGCAAACGTGGCTCACGTTCAGTCGAGGCGCATTTACCCACAGTACCAATTTTCGCCGGACGTGTTGATCGCGTTGGTCGTGCGCCCACGTCGCAGGGCACGTTGGCGAAACTTTTGGTTTCGGCAAAAGCCGAAGCGCACAGCCCAACATTGCATTCCCAATTTTAGACATTTCGAGCCGCATGGGAAAACTTTGCTCGTCGGCCCAACTTCAGAATACGATCTTAGTGCGCGAATTCCTCGTACGCACCCGACACCCCTCGTCTTCAGCCTTCCGCCTCGCTAGAGCCGAGAAACTATGATTGCGCTACCTGAAGGCTACAACCCCGCATATGTATTGTTTGCGTAGTTCATAATCCGGCACGCGATCCGGCATCAGGATGCGTGATGGCCAGAGTCACATCCTATCCTTCCCGGACGAGATTCTTCAGGCCGTTCTTAGTCACGCAGATTACTCTGATCACCGCAGCGTCGCTTTCACATGCTCGCGCTTCCACCGCCTTTCGCGGCTGCTTCCTCGCTCCCTCCATGTCGACTGTATCCCAAACGGAGGGCCAATCACAACCGGAGAATGGCTCAAAGAGCTGAATGATTTTCTAGGGGTATTTACCCTCATCACCACTTTATCCGTGGAGATTCGAGTCAGCCTTGGAGACCGGCTGCTGGCGGGGGTCGGAGCGGATTGCCCGAAATTGGATAGGCTGAAGCTCGTGGGTGCGTGCGGGGATTTCTTCACCAGCCCCAAGGCGTGGAAGAAATTCGCCGGGCAGTGCTCGTGAGTGATGAGGCTCTTGCAGCATATGTCTACCGCCCTTTGTTACCCTGCCTTTCCACTGCACTTCAAACGCTTTCCTCTCTCCTCGCGTCCTATCCTCCGTGTTACCATCGCCTTGCACCCTTCCACGCCCCTTTGTCTCCCCTCTCCTCTTCTCATGATTCACTCCCCCTCTTCTTCCCGCCCAGGCGTTTGACATCGCTAGAGCTGCACTCCCTCCATACCTCGTACTCCAGCAGGCCAGCGCTGCCCCCTGTGGACTCCTTCCCATCCCTGCAACCCCTCACACTCCGCTTCGCCCCCAGGGACATCTCCCCCCTCCTCCGCTGCTGCTCACTCACTTCCCTCACCCTCTGCAACCCCACCGACTCCACTCTCACTCCCCTCGCCTCTTCCTCTTTCTCTTCCTCCCTCCAGTCTCTCACCATCCATTCTGGCAACCTGGATAACCACCTTTCAGGCCTATCTTCCTTCTCCAATCTATCCTCCCTCTCCCTCCACTCCTCCGTCTTTGATCCTTGCGATGTGCTCGCCCTTTCTAGCTCCCTCCGCACCCTCACCACCCTCACCATCCACGACTGCCCCCTGGCATGCACCCGTGGAGTGGCATCGTTGGCCCGATCCAACCCCAACCTCTCCTCACTCTCCCTCACCAGTGACACCTATCGCCTGTTCAGCTGTGGAGGGTTGGAAACCGTGCTCCACCTGTGTGGTCGGAAGCTTCAAAGTTTGAAGCTCTCGGGTCTGCCCTCTTTCCGCCCGGGTTTGCTTGCAGACTGCAGCAGCCTGCGGTTGCTGGCTCTGGAAGGGGCACAAGGGTCGCTAGAAGGCCTTGTGGGGATGCTTGTGCGTGTGGAAGAGAGGGGTGAAGCGGTGGGGGTCGAAGGGGTGGGCAGGGGGCAGGGGGCGATGGTTAGACCGAGGGAAGGTGTAACAGCAGCAGCAGCAGCAACAGAAGCATCACCAGCAGTATTAGCTGCACCAGGAGGTAGTAGGGTAAGAGGGAGGAGAAGGTATGTGGATATTCGCACCGCAGCAGCAGCAGCAGATGCCGACACAGTTTCCTCATTGAGCGACGTCGTCAACCTGGTTGATGCAGCTGAGGGGTACCTAGGCACTGCACGCATGGAGATCCAGTATGCCAACCAGTTCATAGTGCACTCGCCGCATCTTGTCAAGGAGTCGATTGGGCGGATCTAGATGGCAATCTCCAGGTGCCAGTCCGCCTGCCTGGGTTTGCATGCGTATGAATCGACGCTCCGGATGGAGCACGCTATGGTGCGAGAATTTGCTGCTGCCAAGGCGTCAGGCTTCCTCACTCTCGGCCTTGCGGAGGAAGGCAAAGCGGATGCAGCCGGAGATCTCGGACATAGGTTGCGTGGAGGGTTGCCTGGCGATGGGTTGCCTGTGGGCGATGCCCCTCCTACTGTAGAGGCTATTGCAGGCGAAGGCCTGGCTTATGGGCGGGCTACTGTGCTGAATTCTGGTGCTGGCATTCGCGAGGTGCTGAGCTTGGTGACGGAGCAGCTTGACTCGCATGCTTCTGCCATGTTTCGCGCTGTGGAAGCTGCTGCCAGGACTGAGAGTGGGGGCGCAGCAGTGAGTGGTGAAGTTGTTGCTGTTGCAGCATCAGCAGGAGGCGGGGCGCTAGTGGAAATCATAGCAGCTGCTCAACAGGTGGAAGGGGCTCAAGGGGAGGAAGGGCATGGGGAGGAATCAGAATTAAAGGAAGTGAATCAGTCAGGCAGTAGAGGCACAGCAGCTGAATCCGTGCGGCGCACCGAACATGCGACTACGGTGGAGGTATTCTGCCCTCGCCTGGACTCGTTGATCCTTGGATGGCTGCGACTCAGCTCTGATTCTGCACTCCCCTGGCTGCTTCCCGATCTCCCATCCACATCCCCTCCTATGTGCCTTGCTCCTGCTGACCTCACCTCCTCCTCATGCCAATTGTCGTCACTTGCTTCCTCCTCTCCCCCCCCCGCCTTTCAAAGTGTGAGCACTCAGCGGCAGTCGTTTGAGAGCATCACATGGGCGGCTGCGTTTGGAGGGCTGAAGTAGCTGGCGCTTCTGCACTGCACTGGCCTTGGGGAGGAGCAGCTGGCAAGGCTGTTCTGTGCGTGCCCTGTGCTAGTCGAGTTACGTGTGGAGCACAACGAGGAGATTTCTGATAGCCTCGTGCTTGGAATTCGGCTAGAGAAGCTCACACATGTCACTCTGGTGGCATGCACCCGAGTCACTCCTGCTGGCATTGGAGGGCTTGGGAGTTTTCCAAGGCTACGGCAGTTGAAGGTGGAAACGGATAAGCTTACTGAATGGAGGTGGAAGGAGTTGCTTCGTGCGGGAGTGGTGGTGCAGGGAGTGTCACTCAGTGGCTGGTGTATGCAGCTGATACAAACTTCGTATAGTGCTATTGCTTCTCTGAATGCATCACTCTCTCAAGCATCTTTTTAACGTAACAATAAAAAACAACTTCTATTGGAATGGACAAACTTGTTGGGCTGAGAAAAGCCCTTAGGAACTTTCCAGAGACTAAGTCCCAGTTGTAGAGTGAGACTTGAGTAGTGCAGTGGAAGTTGAGTAGTTGAACCCTTGTACTAGTATATGAGAACAAGTGATTGATTAAAGGAAACAAGCATACAGCAATATATAGAAGATAGGAAAAGTAAAGCAGTTGTAGAATACAGTTGCAGGAGCGGTTATCGAGTCGCACAGCGACTCGATTGTCACTTCGGTTACCATCCGTGCAGTTGTAACGGTCGGTCGCAACCTCCAGTTGCGACCCTTCGAGTCCCTTCGCGTTCTTTGTCCATCCCCTAGTGTAACCTCCGTTGACTCGCGTACCCGTGACGATCTTCCTCGAGTGTAGTGTTACACTTCAGAAACGCTCAAGTCCTTTGAGATATTTCCAACACTCCCCTTCGTTTCTGGAGTGCTGACATGTTCAGATCCGGTGACGTTTGTCTGCCCGGTCAGCAGCGTGCAGTAATCGAACTTTGCCTTCGCCAATTTCTTCGTCAGATAGTCTGCGGCCATTTCTGTCGTAGGGCAGTAACTGAGTTGAAGTCTCCCCTTCGCGATTTCATCCTTGACGAAGAAGTACCGCAGGGCGATGTGCTTCGTTCGGTTGGCGAAGCCGTTCTTGTTCGCGATTTTGATCGCAGATTGGTTGTCGCAGAGAAGTGAGAAGACGGGCAGGGTCGCAATCTTTGCTTCCTCGAGTAACTCTCGCAGGTAAAGTCCTTCCTTGGTCGCGGTGCAGAGGGCGATATATTCTGCTTCAGCCGAAGATAGTGTGATTAGTTCCTGTTTGCTCGACTGCCAGGAGATAGTCCCGATAGGTTCTAGTCGGTAGATGTAGCCTGTCCTTGAGCGTCGGTTTTCCCTGTCTCCCGCGTGGTCGGCGTCGACGTATCCGAGTAGTTGTACGGACGATGTCGTTACTTTACTGTAGGTAAGTCCGGTCGTCGGCGTGGAGATGAAGTAGAGTAGTGCCCGATTAAGTTCCTCGAGATCTTCTTGTTCCGGCTGCTTCAGATGCGTCGCTAGTTGGCTCGCGCTATAAGATAGGTCGGGTCGGCAGGTTACTGCTGCGAATAGTAGGCAGCCGAGCTTCTGCTGATACTCCTGGATTTGCTTCGCGGGGAGTTTTGCGGAGGTGTTGCTGTTGTTCCCGTAGTGGTAGGGAGTCGTGACCGTAGTCGGTGTTAGCCCGAATTTCTTCGCGACAACACCTGCGTATTTTCCAGCGTGTAGGTAGAACGCCGAGTTGTCTTCGACGACATTCAGTCCCAGGTACTGGGTCACTGTGTCGGATACCGTGAGTGTCAAGTCCCATTTCAGCTCCCCTTCGAACCAGGTGGCGATGTCGGTAGTGGAACCGATGTAGAGCAGGTCGTCGACGTAAACGATGAGTAGGATATACTCTCTTCCCTTCTGCAGTCGGTACATGCCTTGGTCATGCGGCAGCTGTAGGAATCCGATCTTTACGAGGCGACCGTGAAGATGCTGCTACCAGAGCCGCGGGGCTTGCTTGATCCCGTAGAGGGATTTTATCAGCTGGCATACTTTTGTGGGGTCGTCAATGAAGCCGTGGGGTTGCTCGACGAAGATCTCAGCGTCCACAGGTGCGTACAGGAAAGCATTTGCAACGTCGATTTGGCGCAGTGGTAGTTTCTTCGTGGCCGCGACGGCGAGTAGGATGCGCAAGGAGGTGTGACGGGAGACTGGGGCGAATGTTTCTGTGTAGTCGGTTCCGTATCGTTGATCGAAGCCTCGTACGACCCATCGAGCTTTGAATCGTTCGATGGAACCGTCTGCATTGGTCTTGATGCGGTACACCCATTTTCCCGAGAGAACATTCTTCCCGTTGACGTTCGTTGCAGGTACCAGCTTCCATGTATTTCGGTCTTGCAGAGCTTTCAGTTCCTTTTCCATTGCCTCCTTCCATTTCGCCTTATGTTTCCCCCCCAGAGCCTGCGACAGAGTCATTGGCTCGCGCGGAGATGGCGGCGGCGGGTGCTGGACGGAGACCCATAAGCCGAGGATCTGCAGTCCCGTGGGTGTGTGTCGAGGGGAATTTTCAGTCCCGGAATAGGCTGCTTCGTCACCGTCTTCTGGATCAGGTAAGAAGTTGGGGCCGATGCGTTCTGAGATATTCGTGTCGACCGGGTGAGGTGTAGCGTAACCTTGGTCAGCAAAGTGGTAGAGGGTGTCGAGGTTGTTGCTATCAAGAGGATTTTCGTCATCGAGCGGGACTGGCACGGAGCAGTAGGGGAGTGGTCCGGCAGCTTCCGAAGCTCCAGGTACGTCTTCTTCTGCTGCGTCAGCTTCGGCAGCACGGTCAGTGAAGGAGCGAAGGCCTGCGACACCGTCGGTGGGGTCTTCTGTGTTGGCGACGTTGTCCAGGTAATGTTGCAGCGTGAGTCGTTCGTAGAAGATCACATCACGTGATGCCACGGTATTTTTGTCTTGTATGTCGAGAATTTTCCATGCGTGAAAATGTTTGGCGATGCCGAGGTGTAGTCCCCACCGAGCTCGTTGAGTGAAGCGTCCTGCTCGGGCTGTGTGGGGTCTGTATTGTACCATGCAGCCGAAAACTCGAAGTAATTTTGTGCTGCCCCTTTTTCGTGTCCACAGCAGGTGCGGTGATGCGTTGTTGGGAAGCGATGACGAGGACAACAGATTGTGCAGGTGGACTGCATGTGTCATCGCGTCTGGCCACAGTGTGCTGGGCAGTCTCATCCCCAGGAGCAGCTTTCTCATCGTCGTCTGCAAGGTCCGGTTCATGCGTTCTGCGACCCCCTGCTGCTGGTGAGCATAGGGCAGAGACACCAGGCGTCTGATTCCTCTTTTCGCCAAGTAGGTCCTGAAGCATTGTGACTGGTATTCCAGTGCACCGTCTGACTGGAAGCTCTTGAGCTTGGTTCTTGATTCTCGTTCGGTGATGGGGAGCCATGTCGTGAAGGCGTCGAAGGCTTGATCGCACGTCTTGAGGTTGTAGTGCCAGACGTATCTTGTTGCTGCGCCGACAAACGTGATGACATAGTTGAAGTCGACTTCAGTGTCTTCTCGAGGCATGTTTAAAATGTCGTTGTAGACTTTTTCCATCGGTGCGTATGCAGGTGCGCTTGGGTTGTGGTGGGATGGAAAAGGCTGGTGGGGAAGATCGGCTTCGGGGCACGTAAAGCACCGTGCGCGTGGTCGTCGAAGTTCTTGGCCGCTCGTTGTAAGGAGAGCGTTTCGTTCTAACACTTCGGCTTGGATGGTTTGCAGTATTGTACTGTTTGCAGGATGTCCGAGGCGTTGGTGCCAGATGTCGTCGGGAGCGCGATGGCCGGGCGAGCGGTGGTATATGTCGGTGTTGGAGAAGAACGCGACGACCGTGGCGGGACTGCGGCAGACTTCTCGTGTGATGGGCATAAGTTGATCTGCTTTGGTTGGCGATCCTCGGATCGCTGGTGGTGGTACTCGGCTGGATCCTGCTGCTGCTACTGCAGGTGATGGTTGGGAAGGAACACTTGCTGGTACTTGTCTTTCTTGTCTGATGACTGCTAACGCTCGTGTTCTTTCTGCTGCAGGTATGGTGTTGGAGTACCAGAATCCATCGGGGTTGAAGTCGGGGTCAAGATCCGGCGGGTGTGTCCAGGTGGCGAACGACACGATCCCATCGCTGTCGGCAGTACCTCGGTCGGGGACGAAGTCCAACACGAAGACGCCGGACTTCAGGAGAGCACGACCGATGAAGAGGCCGCCCTTCCCGTGGTAAAGGCGAAACTCATTGGAGTCCGAGTCGCACTCCAGGTGAATCCCTTTTGCCATTAGCTGGCTGACGGTTAGCAGATTGTATCCCAAGTTGTCAACGATTAAGAGCTTGTTGAGTTGCAGGATGACATTTGTTTCCATGGACTGTAACTGAACCACCCCTTGTCTGTTTGTTTTCAGGTTCTCGTTGTTGGCGACGGTGATGATGACGTCGCGGTTGAGGCGTCGCTCTCGTTGCACGAAGCGTCCGGAAGAACACATGTGTTGACCGCAGCAGCTGTCCAAGAACCAGGTGTTTCGCCCGGTGGGTTCGGCGTTGGCGACCGCGGCGTATGTCGGGTTGACCTGAAGTCCTTGTGAACATGGCGGCGGGAGTTCTTCTTCGTCTGGCGCGTAAGTGGGTGGTGATCCGGGTGTGCAGTTGTCGATGTGTACCATGCAGTTGATGATGTTCGGTGTCCCTTGTGCAGATGTGGAAGAACGCCTTGGAGGGCTTTCTTGAGTGGAAGCGACTTGTGGGTCTACTGGGCGATAAACACGAGGACGTGTGCAGTTGACTTTGGAATGTCTGGATGTTTGACAGTTGTGGCAGAATGGCGGTACGATGGTGAGTCCTCTGTTGTCGCGTTGATCTTGCTTGCCGCGTCGATTGTAGTTGTTGTCGTTCCTTCGTTGAGTGTAGAAAACTAACTGCTGCTGCTTCCTTGGTTGTCTTTCTTTGAACAGGTCCATCTCCTGTTGTTCAGCATGAAGCTCGGCGCAGAGGTGCATTTCCGAGATCCTTCCGTGGGCGCGAAGAAGCGAGCGTGTGGTTCTCCATTCTGGCCCGAGCCCGGCGAGGACAAGCGTCACGAAGCTTTCTTCAGTGATTGTTCCTCCGCACCGAAGCAGGCGGTCGCGGAGGGTCTGGCAGCGACTCATATACTGCATCGCCTTTTCCCCGGTCTTCATCTGTATTGTTGTCAGCTGTTGCATGAGTCTTCTTTGTGTCACGCTGTCGTTTGCTTGATAGAGACACTTGAGATGGTGCCATGCGAGTTCCGCGGAGTTTCCATAGCTCCGATACGTTCTGATGCTCTGCTCTTCTTGTGGTGACAGGTTCCGCAGAAGAACTGTGTACGCCAGCAGCGACTGATAAGTAAATATTTCTTGCTCCTTTGCAGTGCCATTGCTTGGATATGGCAGGGACCCGTTGAAGTATCCCAAGAGATGCGCAGCCTCCATCAGCAGCTCAAACTCAAAGCTTCAGGTAAAGAAGTCATGTCCGTTGAACGGTGAGGATGTCTGTAACTTGATTACGAGTGAAAATTGCGCCTGGAGACTCAAAATCTCGTTTGGTGTCTGTTGTGATGCAGCTGCTGTTGGTTGGGCACGGGGCGGCATGAACTCGAATGTCCCCGGTGAAGAGTGATAAGGCGCAAAGGTAGGCGCTTGATTGTGTCGCCCGAACGATGAGTTGTCGAGGCTCATCGGCGCTAATCCCATGTTTCCTCCGTTGCTCTGTGCTGAATGCGCAGGTGTCCTTGTCTGCTGCTGCTGGTCGAAGTGCGACATGAAGCTGAAGAACCTTTCCATAAGGTTCGGATCCACGCTTGAAGAGGGTGATGGGGTCACCATTTCCGGTGCTCTTCTTGTTGTTTCTTGAGCGGCGCCGGTCTCGGTTTGCAGTCCTGAAGTGTGCAATCCAGAGTTGCCGGGTTGAGTGTCTTGGGCGCTGGGTGAGCCCGTAGTGATTTTCTTGCCCTTGCTGTCCATGACTTGTAATCAATGAAGTCGTTGAATTGCAGATTGTAGATAGAGCGTAGTTGCTGGGAGTTTGGTCTCTAACCTAGCTCTCATACCATGTTGGGCTGAGAAAAGCCCTTAGGATCTTTCCAGAGACTAAGTCCCAGTTGTAGAGTGAGACTTGAGTAGTGCAGCGGAAGTTGAGTAGTTGAACCCTTGTACTAGTATATGAGAACAAGTGATTGATTAAAGGAAACAAGCATACAGCAATATATAGAAGATAGGAAAAGTAAAGCAGTTGTAGAATACAGTTGCAGGAGCGGTTATCGAGTCGCACAGCGACTCGATTATCACTTCGGTTACCATCCGTGCAGTTGTAACGGTCGGTCGCAACCTCCAGTTGCGACCCTTCGAGTCCCTTCGCGTTCTTTGTCCATCCCCTTGTGTAACCTCCGTTGACTCGCGTACCCGTTACGACTAACAACAACAAACAACTTCTATTGGAATGGACAAACTCATGCTTGTCGCACCTTTCATTGACCATGTGAAAGGGAAGACACGGTTGATGAACATGTCGTGGCACAGGGATAGCCCTGTCGATCCTCTTCTCTTTGTAGGTGAAAGAATTTGAAAGGTTAGAAACTGTTGGGCTGAGAAAAAGCCTTAGGACCTTTTCAGAGACTAAGTCCCACTTGTACAAAATGCTTGAGTAGTGCAGCGGAAGTGTTGAGTAGTTGAACCTTGTTGGGCTGAGAAAAGCCCTTAGGATCTTTTCAGAGACTAAGTCCCACTTGTACAAGATGCTTGAGTAGTGCAGCGGAAGTGTTGAGTAGTTGAACCCTTGCACTAGTATGTGAGAGAGCAAGTGATTGATTTGAAGGAACAAGCATACAGCAATATATAGAAAATAAGAAATGAAGCAGTTGTAGAGTACAGTTGAAGAAACAGTTACCGAGTCGCACATCGACTCGATTGTCTGTTCGGTTACCATCCTTGCAGTCGCAACGGTCAATCGCAACCTCCGGTTGCGATCCTTCGAGTCCCTTCGTCCTTTCGTGTTCTTTCGTTCAACCTCCTAGTGTAACCTCCGTTGACTCGCGTACCCGATACGACTTTCCTCGAGTGTAGTGTTACTCTTCAGAAACGCTTAAGTGTTCGAGGTATTTCCAACAAACCCTTGCGCTAGTATGTGAGAGCAAGTGATTGATTAAAAGAAACAAGCATACAACAATATAAGAAATGAAGCAGTTGTAGAATACAGTTGAAGGAACAGTTATCGAGTCGCGCAGCGACTCGATTGTCGGTTCGGTTACCACCCTTGCAGTCGCAACGGTCAATCACAACCTCCGGTTGCGACCCTTCGAGTCCCTTCGTTCTTTCGTATTCTTTCGTCCAATCTCCTCATGTAACCTCCGTTGACTCGCGTACCCGATACGACTTTCCTCGAGTATAGTGTTACACTTCAGAAACGCTTAAGTCTTCGAGGTGTTTTCCAACACTCCCCTTCGTTTCTGGAGTGCTGACGTGTCCAGATTCGGTGACGTTTATCTGTCCGGTCAGCAGCATGCAGTAATCGAACTTTGCCTTTGCCAGTTTCTTCGTCAGGTAATCTGCAGCCATTTCTGTCGTGGGGCAGTAACTGAGTTGAAGTCTCCCCTTCGCGATCTCATCCTTGACGAAGAAATGCAGCAAGGCAATGTGCTTGGTTCGATTGGCGAACCCGTTTTTGTTTGCGATTTTGATCGCGGATTGATTGTCGCAGAATAGCGAGAAGGCAGGCATGGTCGCAATTTTTGCTTCCTCGAGCAGCTCCCGCATGTAAAGTCCCTCTTTGGTCGCAGTGCCGAGAGTGATGTAGCCCATTCTGGAACGCCGATTCCCCTTGTCTCCCGCGTGGTCAGCGTCGACATAGCCGAGTAGTTGTACGGACGACGGTGTCACCTTGCTGTAGGTGAGTCCGATCGTCGGCATAGAGACGAAGTAGAGCAGTGCCCGATTCAGCTCCTCAAGGTGCTCTTTCTCCTGTTGCTTCAGGTGTGTCGCCAGTTGACTAGTGCTGTATGACAGATCTGGTCGGCAGGTTACGGCTGCGAACAGGAGACAACCGAGCTTCTGTTGGTATTCCTGGATCTGCTTAGTGGGGAGCTTTGCAGAGGTGTCGATGTTGTCGTTCCCGTAGCGATAGGGAGTCGTGACTGCGACCGGCGTTAGTCCAAATTTCTTCGCGACGACGCCTGCGTACTTTTCGGCGTGTAGGTAGAACGCTGAATCGTCTTCGACGACGTTCAGGCCTAGGTACTGGGTGACGGTGTCTGACACCATGAGTGTTAAATCACTCTTCAGCTCCCCTTCAAACCAGGTGACGACGTCGGTAGTGGAGCCGACGTAGAGCAGGTCATCGACGTAGACGATGAGTAGGACAAAGTCGCCCCCCTTCTGCAGTCGGTACATCCCTTGGTCGTGCGGCAGCTGCAGGAAGCCGATCCTGACGAGGCGGCCGTGAAGGTGCTGCTGTCAAAGCCGCGGGGCTTGTTTGATTCCATAGAGAGATTTTATCAGCTGGCACACTTTTGTAGGATCGTCGATGAAGCCGTGGGGCTGCTCGACAAAGATCTCAGCGTCCACAGGTGCGTACAGGAAAGCGTTGGCGACGTCGATCTGCCGCAATGGTAACTTTTTCGTGGCCGCGACGGCGAGCAGAATGCGCAGGGAGGTATGTCGGGAGACTGGGGAGAATGTCTCCATGTAGTCGGTTTGTATCGCTGGTCGAATCCTCGTACGACCCAGCGAGCCTTGAAGCGGTCGATGGAGCCATCCGCATTAGTCTTGATTCGGTACACCCACTTCCCCGAGAGCACATTCTTCCCGTTGGTCTTTGTTGCAGGTACTAGTTTCCACGTGTTTCGGTCTTGCAGGGCCTTCTGTTCTTTTTCCGTTGCTTCCTTCCATTTTGCCTTGTGTTCCGCCCCCCAGAGCCTGCGATAGAGTCCTTGGCTCGCGCGGCGACGACGGCGGCGGACTGTGGACGACGACCCATAGTCCAAGTATCTGCAGGCCCGTGGGTGTGTGTCGAGGGGAATTTTCATTCCCCTAGACTATGCATGCTACTTTCTATAACTCCAGCTAGGCTAAGTGTGTATGCATGTAATCATTGCCTGTGCTTTGCTGTTCTTAGCTTAGCAAAGGTGAGAAGTGACTTGGGCGACCTTCTCGAGGTGCCTTAGCCATTCTCCGTGTATATAGAGGTGTGTTCTCTAACTGGAAGCCACCATATGATCTCTAGTAAAGTAGCTTTCGCTTATATACCTTCCGTTGTATGGTATACACCAAGATAACGTCGTGGATTCCCATGTTTCCTTACAGTTAACACGTGTTCCTCATTTTAGTACTCTCGGGTCTTCATACCAGCGACACGGCGGCTCGGCGGCTCGGTGGCACGGCGGCTCAGGGTCATGGCGGCTCGGTGGCTCGCCTGCACAGCAGCACAGCGACACGGCTGCTCAGCAGCTCGGCGGAAGGGTGCTCGAGCGGGAGAAACAGGGCAAGGGGCCGAGGAGGGCCAGCGGCGTGCAGGGCCGGTGGGAGCGACGAGGGGGCAGCGTGGGCGCGAGGTGCCAGCTCAGGCGCGCGGGGCCGGTAGGGGTGCGAAGGGCCGGTAGGGGCGCGCGGGCCGGTAGGGGCGCGAGGGACCGGTAGGGGCGTGCGGGGCCGCTAGGGGCGCGAGGGGCTGGTAGGGGCGCGCGGGGCCGGTAGGTGCGCGCGGGGCCGGTAGGGGCGCGAGGGGCCGGTAGGGGCGCGAGGGGCTGGTAGGGGTGCGAGGGGCCGGTAGGGGCGCACTGGGCCGGTAGGGGTTCGTGGGGCCGGTAGGGGCTCGTGGGGACGGCTAGGGCGCGAGGGGCTGGCTAGGGCACAAGGGGCGACGAGGGCACGAGGGGCTAGCGAGACGCGGTAGGCTAGGGCGCGGTAGGCTAGGGTGCGGGGCGGAAGCGGGTGGGTGGACCTACCTACTCATGATACCATGTTAGCTAGAATGTATGATTGAATACAAGGGAGAACAAGGGAGATATAGTGTTGGGTTGTACCCTCTAAGAACATACACCTATCTAGCCTATAACTTCTACATGTCAATATATGTATCAGTTGACAGGGTTTTGAGCGAAGCATGTTTTGTCAAGCCTTTTTTTTTTTTAAAGTTTAATCAGGCCTGCAATTTTGCAGTTT